TCAGGTCCAAATCCAGTTAAGAAAAAGGGTGGGGTGTCATTTTGGCACCAGGGAAAGTTGGACTCTCCAAAAAAGCAAATTCTGGAAAACAGGATAGTATTCACATTCAATCTGAACACTGTCAATTCTTAACAGTTTTCAGCTTAAAAAAATTTCTTCTATTTAAAGTTTTAGGGCCTTCAAGGTGTTTTTACATAAAAAAAAAAAAATAAAAGCAGCACAAAAGAGGGAAGAAATCAAACTACTTTGTCACCCTGGAAATCTATTGATTTTGTATAGTGTGACCAAAGATTAATTTTGGGACAGCACTGATCCATTTGTTTTACACAAGCTGCTCTCTTGGAGAAGGCACAGAACAGGTAACAACTTCAGAGCAGGCCACAGGTCCTTGGCAAGATGTGCTGGAAACTTCTTTCCTTCCTTCTCACCTGGTGGGCTACACAGACAGCACACCAAGCACAGTGCAGAAAGGTCAGTCTTCATTACTATAAAACAGTACATTATTTGATAGATGTCTCTTTACTAGTCAATTAAATGAGATTGGGACTATTCCCTGGCACTGAGGCCAACTGGCACAGAAGAACTGGCATCTGTACCACCAAGCTGTCTTTCATGAAGATGGCCTCATCCAGACTGCCCGCTGGGACCAGTCACTAGCCCACGCTAATTCCTGGACTATAAGCAGGAATTCTTTGGGAAGAATACTAGCTGGCACAGGGCAGAAGTGGGACAATGACTGTTCTAACAATCTGACATTACGAAGAAGCAAGCTGCAGTGCCTGGAGATGATCCATAATGCTATTAAATTTACTAGTCTAGATGTCACTACCAAGGCAGCTTTAAAAGAAAGTATTCAGAAAAGGACTTGTAGCTGTGTATCAGCAGCAGAGTTCTTTGTGCCAGCCCACACAGACTTCTGTTAATTTTATTTGCATTGCTGTAAAACATTACATTTAGGGTAAATTATTTTAGAAACTGTTGGGATTCATAGAACTCATCTAAAGGTTAGCCTGATAGTCAGTCCCTTTAAGGACAGCAGGGAAAAGTATGAATGATGACAGTTCTTCTTATAGTAACACAGAAATACAGAAAAAAATGGGCAAATTGCCTCTTATTTAGAGGTACTAGCATTCCACTAAAAACAAAGGCTGAAATATCTCATTTTGTTGTCTGTATAAATTCCAGGGATGAACCTCACCCAGAATATTCTGCTGTGTTTACAATAGCTCATGTATATTTAACATGATGACCCTACTGTTTTTCTCCCCTCCAGGCAGTGGTACAGGTAAGTAAAATGCTCCGTTGTGCACACACTGTCAGTCCTGCATTTCCTAACGCAAGCTAACTCGAGCAGTAATGTCCCAATATACAAACATTTGTTATGGGGATGAGAAAAACTTTGGGCCTTCATCTCCCTTTTTGCTGTAATGTACAGCTTCATGATTTTATTTCAGGTATTTGTTCTAGTCAACAAGCTGTGAAATCTAATCAGCTCTCACACAAACATCGACGCGCATCTCAATTGCTTCTTTGCTCCCTGCAGAGGTTCTTTTGGAATGTCTCCTGTTACTGTGATCAAGCTACAAATACCTGATCTATCAAAGTTATGAGAGAGAAAGTACTTAATGGTACTTTCATTTTAAACAGCTGCTATGCTTCCACGAGTGTAAAATGAATCTGCCTCTGTCTCTTGTGTTCTTCCACTGGATAAGCATTCCTTCATATGATTATCCTTGCACATTTCAATAATTAATTTTTTTTTGGACATATGAATCATTCCCATATCTTTTCAAGTATTCAAAGACACTGATAAATCCTGACTTGAGGTCAGACATCATTTTTGAAGTGAACCAAAACAGGATGATAACTCAGAGCAGCAAAAACCTGATCTACTTGTAAACTTTGCTTTTATTATAAATTTTAATTTATTATATCTTCTCTGACTGGAGCAAATAGGTTGTGTTCTACCTCTTAAAAATTACTTTGGTATATCTAAACAGTAAATATATTTAACATTTCATAGGCATCCTGAAGTGAAATTAAAGACATTTTAATACAAATCTCTGGCTACAGCAATTTACTGATTCAGTGTATGCGGTTTCTCTATCTACCACTGACAACAATATATTCCCTTTGTAGGCTCTGCAAGAACTTATTATCCATCAAAGTTGGTGATGTATTGCAGGTGTATACGCAGCTCACTATCCAATCAAATGGAAGAGACAGACTAGAGAAAAGATTCAGAGGAAGTCTAGCACAAATGAGTGTCAATCCATTCTGTGATTAGGTAATGGCAATTATGATAATTACAGCAATCCACTACAGGGAAATGTTCCAAAATTGCCAGCCTGCTGCAAGGCATAGTGCATGCAAGCATTCACTTATGGAAAGCTTTGCCTGAACTTTTTGAATACTAACTATGTGCTTTCAGTTGTAAACAGCATAGGCTGGCCTGATGATTAAGACTGTGATCTATTACATCTTATTAAAATATGGTGAATTCTTCTAAGATATATGTATCATCTACAGACACACACCTCACTGGGATGTAAAGAAAACACACATTATTATAAGTCTAACTCAAATTCACACACAACACTATGGCAAAACAAACATACTCTTTCTCTTGGATAACAATTTCAATGCTGAGATTTTTATATTATATAGACATAAGATAAATAAATGAATTTTCCAATTCATTCATTATTCTTGTTAATTCATTATTTTTTTTCTTTCAGTTTGCCTTCTATAATATATTCCCTACCTTGCTAAACAAGAAGACAAGCTCAAACAATTTGAAAAAAATGAGGTGCCCAAAAACAAGGCCAACTGTATCAAAAATCAAACTAACAAACACTGAACATTGACAGCACCCAGCAGAGAGACTCCCACCAGCTGAAAATGGAAAGATACAGGCTAAGAACAATTAAGCAAGACTGGGATACAGAAGACACTATGTACAGAAGAAGCTGTCAGAGAGAAGTCAGTCCTGGCCTTCAAGATTTTTCACAGATGCCTTTCACAGATGAAAGAGGTCTTTGTCTGCTTGAGGAATTACAATCAAGGGAACACGAGCAAGGAAGACCACGACATACAAAAGGAAATTTGCAATGTGTCCAAAGATGGCAGCATTTCAGAAGCACCAACTGTGAGAATAAGAAGGATCTTTCATGTAGTTAATGCTCATAGACATCAGAAAAACACAGTCCTTCCTGAGCTGTGAATTAAGTCCCATGTTTTACAGATTTGTGGTTTTTGTTCACTACCTATTCTTATCCATCAGATTAACCCTAACCAAACCCATATCTCCAAATACACTCCAACAGGCATATGACTCCTTAGAAACCAAGCCACACAAGATGGCTGGAGGGTTGGCTCATGCAGATTGGCCCATGAAGTAGAAAAAAATGCATGGCTACATTTTATCTCCCTTTTCAAGTCAAGGCACAATGTAGGATCTCAACTCTTAGCAGCCAATAAAGCATTTGCACACTGATTTCTTTTCTTCTAGTGGCCTCAGAAAGAAAAGCTAAAGCTGAGCTGAATGATTGAAAAAAACAAGGAAACATGTTCCTTACTTTTCTAACCAGTAAGCAGAAAGAATGCAAAGCCAAACTGCAATACGTATGCCAGCTTTCAAAATTCTGAAACAAAATGGCTGGCACTAATTGGTGCTTGGATCACTCACTTTGATGTAATTTCCTGATAGGTGAAGCTATGTGCTATGATTTAATAGCCATTAATATGATGAAGAGGACTGATATATGACAAAGCCAGCTGGCTGCTTTTCAAATTCTGCAGCTGAAGGTGATCTACGGTCATGCTAGGCATTCCAGCTCCTCTCTTGAATATTTTCTACTCCCTGAAGTACATAAACTTTAGAATCATAGAATCATAGAATCATAGGGGTTGGAAGGGACCTCGAAAGATCATCTAGTCCAACCCCCCTGCCAGAGCAGGGTCACCTAGAGTACATAAAAAAAAAACAGCAAAGACAGGTACTTAGAAATAACAGATTCCACATAATGTACAGTTACACAATTGTATTCCAAGCTCTTCCAAATTGCACAAAAAAAAAGCAAAGCTGATTGACTACAAGATATCTTGTACACAGGTTGTATCAAAGATCCATGGAATTATGTATGCCGGAAGGGCCTCCAGAGATCAACTAGCCCAAAGTCCTGCCCAGAACAGTCCTATCACATGTTGCTCAGGGTTGAGCCTCACAGAATTATTAAAATATTCAAGGATGGAGATATCTAATTTTCCACACACAAGTATCCCCGAGTCCTTCACAGAGTTGCTGTCAATCCATTCATCCCCCATTCCTGTACTGATATTGGGGATTTCCTCAACCCATGTGCAGGACCTTGCACCTAGACTTGATGAACTTCATAAAGTTCACATGGGCCTGCTCTTCAAGCATGTTGAGGTCCCTCTGGATGGCATCTCTTCCCTCGACTGCATCACTCATGCATAGTGTTATCTGCAGACTTGCTGAGGCCTTATTCAATCCCACTTTATACATCATGGATTAAGTTATTAAACAGTATTGGTCCTACTATAGACCATTAAGGGATACCACTTATTACTGGTTTCAACTTGGACATTGACCCATTAATTATAACTCTTAGGACATGGCTTTCCAGCTAATTCTTCTTCCATCTAACAGTCCATCCACCAAACCCCTCTCTCTCCAATTTAGTGGCAAGAATGTTGGGGAGTACCATATAAAAGGCCTTACAGAAGTCCAGGTAAATGATGTCAGCAGCTATTCCCTTGTCCACTGATGCAGTCACTCTATCACAAAAGTCCACTAGATTACTTAGTGAATTACTTAAATTCACAATTTGCCTTTGGTGATGCCATGCTGGCTGTCTCTCTAACCTCCCAGTCTGCCATATGCTTTGACATATCTTCTAAGAGGATCTGTTCCATGATCTTACCAGGCATGGAAGTGGGGCTGACTGGTCAGTAGCTCCCAGGGTCCTCTTTTTTACCCTTTTTACAAATGGGTGTGATGTTTCCCTTCTTCCAGTCAACGGGGACTTTGCCTGACTGCCGTGACTTTTCAAGTATGATTGAGAGTGGCTTGGCAACCATATCTGCCAGTTTCCTTAGGACCTTGGTCTGCACCTCATCATTCCTTAGGACCGTGGTCTGCACCTCATCAGGTCCCATGGACTTATGTATGTTCAGGTTCTTCAGGTGATCTTGAATCTGATCTTCTCCTACAACAGGAGGGATTTCATTCCCTCGGTCACTGCTTGAGATTCAAGGGTTTGAGACATGTAGAAAGAATCTGCTGGATTACTTGCATTGAGCTATCCTGATCTTCAGGGTCAGGGTGAGAGGGTGACTGAAATTACCTCTGATTAGCAAGGTCTCCAATCTTGAGGCTTCCTTCTAAAGAAGGCTTAATTTCTATCCTCACTAGATCAGATGGTCTGTAGCAGACACCTACCACACTCATAATAAATAATTATATATTAATTTATCACAGATGAATCATTACATAAATATAGCATATATAATTCAATAAATATATAATGAATAAATAGTTGTGCCTGCCTTTTACATATTCATTTAAAAATGAGAATTTGTATTGTCCTAATTGGCCCTTCTTACTGGTGAGAATACTATAGAAGATATTTGAACCAAAAAAATGCAATACTGAAAAAGAGCATATTGGGTTATTCTCATTGTGGAGGGGCATCCATGGCTGTTACTCTGCCAGTCAGAGATACCATGGTTTAAAGATTCCTTTGTTACACTGGGCTTTTATCCCAGTATCCCTTTTATCCTAAGTATCATCCTAAAACAGGTGATGGGACCATCTTAGACTTTAACAAACTCCACGTGGAGTTCAGAGTGCCAGTCCAGCATATAAGGTTTTACCAAATTGTGTGAGAAATTGTTAAGCCAACCCATTCAGCATTAAAGTACTAGTATAGTAAGAGTGCCTCTCTGCCTGAAGCACACGGACATATAATGGAGCTCAGTCTCAAAGTTGATGAGGTGAAAGCTCATCATGATGCATGACTTGCATTTATGTTCTGTTCTTGTTACACCAGCTAATAACATTACTTGCTGCCAGGCTGTCTGCTATAGTGCTTTAATTAAGACCTCCTTCAGAATGCAGGGGTCATGCAAAATTAATGAAAACAGCAGGCCAAATTCAGAGATGATGTACATTAGAGTAATTTACACTTCAATTAAGCAGTGCAATTTGCATAATAAGAGGCTTCAATAAAGAGCTTGTAGCAGGGATAGTAACCTAGATTTTACCTTATGTTTGTTTACACTTTTCTGGTCTAACCCCACCCTTTCATACAGTGAATTATTAAAACAGCAATTTCTACTATCATCTTCCTCTAGTAAGTCAACAAACAATAGGTTCTAGAAACAATGTTTTTCTACAGGTACCTAATAGAAATAGCAATATTTTTTGGTTTATTTGTTTTGGCAATATCATACTAGAGAGGGACCCCAAAGTCCTTAATAATTGCACTTAGAACAAAAGAACCAGAACTGTGAGGACATAAAACTACAGTAAATAAGGCTCCACTGGAAATAGCACAGAACTACTTCTCATGACATGGCACATGCCTCCAGAAGTCCTTCTGCCTTTCTAAGTTATCTTACCTATCTGTAGGACATACCTGCTGGAGGGGTGATCAGATTGTCATTACTGTGTTACAGCTTTTACTGAATTATATCATCCAAAGGTTTATATGAAGATACAGTAGTTGATGGTCTAAGCCCAGATATTATTTACAAGCTGAGTATTTTATGTCATATTTATGATCATTCATGTAGAACTTCATGAAGGTCAGAAGAAGATTGCATAGTTAGACCTGCTTTTAGACACCTATTTAGCACATATCTCTTTATCTTGTTTCCACCCACTTGTCAGTATACAGATATGATTTATTCCACATGCATTTCTCTTTCATTCTGCCTATCATGTTGTGTTATATCAAGAGGAACTGACATAATTTCCTGTATCAGACATGGCTTTGAAGAGCCCTGAGAATTTCAGAGCAGAATAAAGTGTGTATTGTACAACAGTCCAGCCAAGATCTCCCAGAAAGGACTAGGACCTCTACAGCAGCCGTGGGTCAATGGCACTGCTCTTTGGGGTTGTCACTGACCCTTATCCTTAAGCTTTGTTTCCAAACTCCAGGAGCTATTGTCCTGCAGACTAGCAATATCCATTACAGAATCCAACACTGAACACAAGAGATTGATTCATTGTCTCAGTTCACCACGAGAAATCTTTAATAATGCATTGAGCACTGTTGCTCTTCCACCGCCAGTCAACATCTGATAACTTTAGAGAAAAAAACAGGAAAGTTACTGTAAAGTAACTATGTCAGTAAACTGTCAAAATGCCATGTAACTTTTGAATTCACTAATTTAGTATTTTGAAAATGGGACTTAGGAAACTTTGTAAAAGCAACACAAATCTTTTTCAGTACAGAATCAAAAAAATCCTTCATATTTCATAGAGCAAATGTTAGAGCATAAGTGTAAGGGAGAATTTCACAGATAAAAAGACAATTCCATTCTCTCCATATAACAAATAAATGAAAGCAATTATAGGAAAGAGATTGAAATGGTAAAAAAACACTACCAAAAAGATGATTTGTCCTTTATCTGTCTTAGGATCACTGCCATGGCATGGCTGCCTTCACTAAGGATAAGAGATGAGAACAAGATTTTTGAAAAACAAGCTCTCATCTATTATTCTCAAAACCTACTCTTTCTATTTTCAGTTCTCTTCCTGAAGGCTTTTTTATTATAACTATTTTGAAATCTGCTTTTTGCCCTAAGGGGAATCTCAAGGAAATGATCTGCATTTTAAAGAGAAAAGTTGTTTGTCTTGTCCCGTAATCCTGACAATATACTATCTCTATTTCTTGCCATAAGGAATTTTTGGTGTGTCTTTTCCTTTATCTCTGCTCAGTGGTCTTGCACAGCATCTTCTTAAAAGGGGCAGACTTTCACTGTGAAAGTATTACACCTATAGTGAAAAATGCAGCAAGTAAAACCATGCTCAGGAATAAAAGTGTAGAAGGAGTTATTCACTTCATATGAATGAAGCTGGCTAGAATCACTGCTTGTCCTCAACATGCTTTTGTAGGGTAAGTAATTTTGGAAAGTATCTAGCAATAGCATGTTTAAATTCCAAAAAAATTTCATCTAATCCTTCTCTCCCCTGATAAATAGCAGGAACTACTGCAGGTAAAGACAGACTAATTGATGTATCTGAGAGGATTCATATTGCCTCTGCCTTTATAACATCGTCTGAGAACACAGACATCCTCACTTACTGATCAGCATGACAATATACTGCCTTTTCTCTCCTTCACCTACTGAAGCAGCTAAGAAATAAGACCATGATAAAATATATTTTCTGCAGCATCTCTGCTCTCCCCACATGTTGAACAGCACCCATGAAAAAGCTTGTTTTTCCTGGGAGTGACTGGGGAAAATTAGAAAGGGAATTACAATGTAATCTATAGCATTGTACTCCTGCTATATTACATATTTTACCTTAAAAAAGCTTTCTTTCACTGTTAAGTTTTTTTTTTCCTCCTGTATCTTTTTTTACCTTGCTGAGGTTACATGACCTATAATTAAGGGAACCTGTGGTTCTCAAAATCTGGGTGACACATGGCACTTTTAGTTTGTATTGCTGATGCTTTCTCTAATTCTGCATGTGGGAACATAATTTTCCCTAATGGTAACTAATAAAAATTTGGGTACAATTATATAAAATTCCAGTACTCTATATGAAAATTTAACATTACAAACATATTGAGTCATTGAAGCATTAAAAAAAGAGTAAGATAAGGCTAACATTCCTCTTCCCATTCAATATTAACTGTAAAAACAAAGTATAAGGTATAAAATAACCACTTTACTAAAATTAAGTTCAAAGATGGAAGCTTTTGGTCTCTCAGACTGGTGCAACATTTTTGTACTGATATTATACAATTTCGTGAGGTGAAACGAAGGGTTTAGGTGTGTTTGGGTGGATTTGTTTGTTTTTTTTTTTTTCTTTGTTTGGTTGGTTGTTTCTTTATGTAAGCCCCCATCATCCCAAATCTCAGACACAAAACCATACAAATCCCAAACCTTTGTTTTAATGAGGAATTTAAAGGATTTTGTGGCTTGGTTTGTTTTGTTTGTTTCTTTGTTTTACTTTTTTTATTCACCTTCTGCAATTATTAGTGGAGATTTTAAAGACTGAAGCCAAATCACTGGGAATTTTATAGTCTTCCATACCAGAAAGCTTTACAAAATGCCCAAAACCCTAAAAACGGCCAGCCAAAGCTTTGAAGGACTATTTCTTCAATGCTTCCTCAGGTAGCATGGATTTTTTTAAATTACTATTTAAGTGAAGGAATATAATTTTTTTAAAATCAGACTTAGCATTTCAACAAGAAAATACCATCTAAGGAATATAAGCTTTGCTAATCTTAGGACAGAGTATCGCAACTGAAGTTTCGAACTCTTCCACCTGAAAATCTGAGCATATGCCAGCATTTAGACAGGCTATAGAAAGAGGCTACAAAGTGTAACAGTTCTGGTTACCTTACTAAAAAATCCCATTAAATAAGGACGTTAATTACTTAACTTCTCCAACAGTGTAGTGGATTGTTGACCTCTACAAGGATTTACTGTCCTTGTACCATAGCCAGCAGTAAAATGTGACAAGTTGGTTACCAAAACAATAACATTCAAATGGAAAAGGTAACACTTTCATTTCCTTGGGAGTAGGGCTGTCTGTGATAAGCTAAAAAGTCAAGTAGTAGGATTTTAAAACGGGACCAAAGAATTTAACTGTGAAAGTTCAGTGAAAATTTTCCATAGGAGCTAAACACCTGCATCACTTCAGCAGTACAAGAGTTTTCTCACATTTTTAATTATACACAAAACATGATGGAAGAAAGGGAAATCCAAGGTAAAAAAATACACTAGCCAGTAAATTACAGATTATTAGACTAAAATCCCTTTCCTCTTTCCTAAACAAAATTTGACATAGAACTAAAATAAAACATCACATTCCATTTTAAAATGAGAGTCTTCACAGGAATCTTTTTTTCAAGCATGGAATGCAGGATTTTTTTTCCTTCAGACAGCTGCTCTCTATCATACTATGTCCTAGATCTGCGTTTGTGCTACTTGCACTCCTCAAACCTTGCTGATCTCTTCTTGTTGGGAAGTTAAAGGAAAGTTCCATGAAAGCCACTATCAAATTAAGCCTTTTTTTCCCCCAATAAAAAGTGCTTGTACTTTATTTGAAAATTTTGACCAGGAAATCATTCAGTCAGATGAATTCACTTGAAGGGAACTTATTTCACTGCTAGTGTCTCAATAGGAGATTGCCTCCAGCATTAATACTGAGGTATTTCAGACAGACAAGAAGATAAAATTATTACCATTAATATTGAAATCTTTAACTCACTCTTCTCACTATACCAAATAAAAATTTTCAAAATTTAAAATATAATAGAACAATATGTTTCATAACCTAGGACTATATTCTTATTAAAATTAAATGTATATTTATTCCTGTCACTTCTTCTGTCATTTGACTCTCATACTGCACAATGAAATTAAATCACAGAACTGACTCCAAATGCTCAATATACACAACTCCTAATGAAGCAGTTGACAGAACAGACATTCAGCAAGCAATGAAATCAGGAAAAGAGTGAGCCAGTATTTAAATAACAAAATAAATAAATAAACTGCCAACACTCCTATCCTTTCATTATAATTCTTGCAATCATGAACAAAATGCAGTTAATTTGCTGATGTTTCACCTAACTGGTACCCAGAAATTACTTGGAGAATTTTTATCTAGAAAAGAGAGCTGTAATTCACTGGAAAAACTAGCTTAATTAAGGAAAAAGCAAGCCACAATCTGTTAATACATAGTTCTTCTAAGATACAGCTAATAATGCTTTTGCTAAGTTATGAGCTGCTGAGAAAAATACAGTTATCACAGTGCTAACTTGGGTGCACAGCCTACAATTTTTGACTATGTTAGACATTATTAGTGAAAGAAGACATTGCAAATGAAATTACATTTATTGTCAAATACAATAATTCAAGAGCAGTTTTAGACCTTTCCCAGCCAACACTTAAGTAGGTAGAATTCCTAATAACTTCAATTACCAGTTCTAGCTAAAGTCTCAGTCATTTTTCTCTCTTCTCTCTTTAGAAAACCACATTTCACACAGTGATGGATGAAAATTAACAAGTCCTTTTCCTTCTGAGAAAAGTTTCCTTTTGCTTGTAATGTGTATTTCGATTGTAAGTATGAGTTTATTCTTTTAGTCAAAGATTTTGAAAAGGCTACAGTGTCACAAAGGGATGCTTTCAAATGAAAAGTCAGTGGCTAACTAGCAAACTGAACTGAAGAACAACTGCAGAAGTCAGAAGTCAGTCCTGCATTCAGTGGGGCAGCTTCTTGATTAGTGTAAATCCAAACAACTCTTACCACAAAGGTGCCACAACACTTGACCCAGGCTGAAAAACTCATGCTGGTTTTGTCAAAGGATGCATAGAATAGGTTTATATTTTTAATGTATCCTTAGTAAAGACTTAACTGCAGCAATCTTCAAAGCATCCTTAAAAACAAATGTTGAGATATGTAAAATAAAATACAAAGCAGTACACGACAATAAAAATAGGTGACCTTTGTATTCTTCTCTTCCCTTCTCATAACTCACAAGTTATGCAGGTGTGATTCACACACAATAGGTCAAGAAAGTTCACATTTTTCAGCAATGTGGATATCCATAAAAATTCTTTTAATGGAAGTACATTTTAAGGACATGAAAATTCTTCCAGAAATATCTTACCTCTTCCAGAGCAAGGCAAATTAGAATTTCCTTGGCATTTCTTAGCACTTTCCTCAACTGACAATGGACAAGAACGTGGATGTTCACACTTCTTCCCAGTCCACCCTTCTTTACAGTCACACCTTCCACAATTACACTGTCCATGACCTTTACAATGAAAACAATTAAAGATTAGAGTCTAGACTGATGATAGGTATTAAAACATCATGATTAGATGAACTTTAAAGTTGTTGTTTCATTAAATAATCAATTCACTATATCTACCTATTTTCCTGAAAATTATACTAGTCTAACATTCCATTTGAGCTGTACTTCTTTTTAGTTCTTTTTCTTCAGAAATGTTTTCCACTTGGCACATGCTCCTTATGTAAAAGGGTGGAATAGAATTTAAAAACACATGTTTCACCACTCTGGAAAAAGTGAGGCCATTATAATCATAATAGCAATACCACCTTTTATCTACTTGCAATCAACATGATCCACCAGGAATGTCACACCAGTTTCAAGTTTCAAAACAGTGCCTTCTACTAAATAGTGATGTGCAAATAATAAAATACTGGACATTATCTAGTCTCATTTCAATAGGGCAGTTGGATGTAGTTTAGTATCTCATTACCTAACTTGACTCTTTCTAACCAGATCTGAACATAGTAACATAAACAAAAATTAAAATACAACAGACAAGAAGTTAGGGTGAATTCCTCCTGATAAAAGAGAAAACAGATTGTTTTGATATGAATGCTAAGATAGCCAGACCAAGAAAAAACAACCTAATTTCCCATCTTCTTTCATCATGAGCCTAAAGCTTTTTGCCTAAAGCAATGGGATCCTGGAAATGCAAAACGTTCCTTGTGCTGGATGAGGATAGCTTGAGCATCAGTAAAAGTGTTTCTTGCCACAAAAACAAATATTTCTTTTCATGAACTCTGGCTGTAGGTTGGCTATTCTGTCACAATTTTCACATAGTCAGCATTCACTGGACACAGAAAGCATTGCTCTGATGTCCACTTCTGTATACAGATTCTTCTTGAAAATCGTAGCAACAGAGATGATATATCTCTTTCTAATTGTAATTGCATGTTAAGGCTGACTTATATTATATTTCTAAAATGTGAACTGGTAAATGCATAAGGAGAAAATGTGAGAAAATGAGTTATCACAATAGTTCCCAGAATACAAGTCGCTCATTTCACAAGCATTTTTCTTTAGTTATTTCTTTTCTTTGAAAAACCCTAAATGGGTCCTCTTGTTTAGAGAGTCTAAGTAGACTAGATATTAGGAAGAAATTATTTACTGTGAGTGTGGTGAGGCACTGGAACAGGTCACCCAGAAAAGTTGTGGATGTCCCCTCCCTGGGAGTGTTCAAGGCCAGGCTGGATGGGGCTTTGAGCAACCCGAGATAGTGGAGGTATCCCTGCCCACAGCAGGAGAGTTGGAACTAGGTAATCTTTAAGATTCCTTCCAGCCTAAACTGTTCTGTGATTCTGCCTCTTGCTTTCATGTGCACCGACTGACAGATTGAGCATTGGACATGCTCCCTGATCCAGATAGATACTTAGAAGAGGATGATCTTTCATACATATATTTGCTTTCCTAGAGCCACAGCAAATGAGCTAATGAGATGTGTGAATGTAGGAATTTCCTTATGGAAACCTTTTTTCTTTCTGTGTCAAAACATGAAAACTATTCTGTCTTTAAAGGAAGAGAATCACTTTAGTGTTGCAAACACTTCTGGAAGGAAACGATTCAGTAACACGCTGCACAGCACTTCAGGTGTTAAAAGAAAGCACCCGATTGCCAGCTAGGAACTGCAAACTGACAGTCACCCCAAGCCATGTGAAGCAAGGGTGTTGTGTGATGTTAAATCCTCACAGCAGGGCTGTCAATTCCTGTCGTTTGTAGTTTATGAAATAAAGATTCTTTCAGTTGCGTGAAAACTCCTTACATCTAAACACGTCTTCCTACCCTTTCAAACTGTAACTCAGGACAATGGGGGTTCCTGTCTCTACATATTAGGTTGGCAGGAAAAAAACAGGAAAAAGTTTGCATGAACTCCTTTTGATGTAGGTTTTAAGAAAGCTGGATTATTTTCCCTAATCTGACTAATCCTTCTTGGACTCGTCCTAAATCAATTTACAAATAATTGTAAGAAAAATGAGGATATACTTTGCAGACATACTTAACGCATGCACACATCGTGCTCCAAGTAAATTTCTTTCCAATAAACAATTACAATTTTGCTAGTAAATCTTTGATTTAATTTCAGATTCTGTCTACCACAATTAAACAAAATTAACACACATGCATTTTTTCCTTTTCTGAAAGAGAACTAAACAGCAGGACTATAAGATATGCACACTGCTTCATGTGAAAAATGATTTTTTTTGCACAATCTATTTGAGGAATGCATACTTGGATGGTTCTCTAAGGCTAAACTGAGTTTTTCTAAAACACAGTAGAAAAAGGCATAAAAATAAGAAGCAGTACTAACTTCGTTTTCTGATTAGGCAGAAAAACTGAGCTGTACTTCAACAAGTGTTTTAGTCACATCAAGAAAGACAAGTACTTCCTTTTGTATCTCTCATAAGATTTGCCCATTTACAGTTGTATCTGTATAATAAAGAACATTGTACTCATCCTTAGTCCAATGTCTAATGGCTATATCTTGCCCCCAACTCTTTTGTAACTGTCAATACTTTTTTACATGCTGCTTTCTTACAACCATTACCAGGCCAGGCAGCAGCAGCAACAAGGGCAATAATGTCCAGGAAAGAGGGAGTTCAAGCTCTCTGTCACTGATGCAATATTAGCTATAGATGCCACAGATTTACTTTAATCTAATTAAACTCGTGTTCATCCTTAACTACAGAACAGATTTACCATTTTGCTTTATATCTTTGTATTCTCTAGCTGATGCTGACGTTTTGATAAGTCCCCCAGTGCTAAACAGATACTCAGCAACACAATAACACATTCAACAGCTGACAGCATCCCAAAGCCAGTCCTCCTGCTGCTCTCATGACTGCAGTTCTACATCATTTCATCTCATTAAATAAACCTATATAACATTTGTAGGTGACTGAAATAGTAACAAGCAAATAAATTCACTGAAGGTTTTTTAGAAATGTTTCTTTTTCAATCACTTTATTAACCAGTGATTCATCAATATTCATTAAAAAAATAGAACAAGAACAGTCGAAAAACCTTTCATCTTTATAAGAAGCAAAGAAGAGGCTAGGAATTTTATGCATCATGTTTGTTTCAGCCTTATCTCCTTATTACAGGCAACTCCTAAGATATTTCTATGAGGGATGTCTCATTCTAGTAATAGGAAGAGAATATACCACATTATTGTTTTCCTTGGTGTGACTGTATTCTTCCTATTATTAATTAGGCCAGATCAGATTTCTACAGGACACATTAGAGGTGATAATCTGTAATCTGCCAATTTGCTTTGAAACTACCTTCATTAGGTTTTGCAGAGTTCCTATGTGTGCAATTTGCATGCTTTGTATTGATCAAAGTTCTTCTCCACTGCCCAGTATTAGCATCTTTATCAGTAACTACACAAAATTGTATGCAAAGTCTCACTCAGAATTTCAGTTTTTGTGAGTCGATACATGAAGCACCAATCTAATTACACTGCAAACGTTTGATAACTGGATGGATGTTAATTAATTTGAATATAATGCTCCAAAGTACAAGGAGAAGAAAAAGAGAAGGTGAAAATCTTTAAGATGTACAGCCAGAGATGTGCAGTTGAACCACACATTCATGTTTTCCACATTTTGATTCTCTACTTGTTCTCAGGTCAATTCGTATTCTCAGGGTACTGTTTTTCATTTATTCATTTTTCCTTAAATTTCTCTCTCTCTCACTTGTCCTCTTCCTGCCGTATAAAATGAAATAAATTTCATTTAACAATTTTCAAATTTAAATTTCCCCAGAGAAGGATATATAATTATATATATGCGCGCGCACACACACACACACACACATGTATATACATACATACACACACACAAATAGATACAAGGAAGAGCAAGACCATCCAGTTGGATGATTTAGTTACAAAACCACACAGAAGTTCCTTTTACATATATTCCTTACCTGAACAGAAGTCATCAGAGTATCTATCATACACTGCCTTGCAGTTTCTTTCATCACATTCACAAGTATCTCCATGAATATCTCCCCAGTCACCAGTTGGATCCACATCATGGCATGTGCATTCCCCACATACACATGTGCCTAGGAAATAGTTAAAAAAAAAAAAAAGTCAGAGACAGATTAACTGAGCTATTTAGAATAATATTAGTTTGATTAAAGGAATTTACACTTGTGAATTTTCTGCTCTCACAGGAGTGCAGTTTCAAAGCTGCAAGTGTTAATCATAAGCATATGCTGATCTTCAATGATTTAAAATCTTTTATGGTTATTTAGTAGTGATACTTTATACAAACAAGTTGTCTTTCTGTTCAAGTTTCTTTTTGCTGTTGAACCTTTTTAGGAAATCAACAGAAAGATGTAGTGCAGAGAAGAGTCGTAAATCTTTGACATCAACAGTAATTTGCTCTGACACTAATGACAATAAAAATCAATGCTTTAAATGACTTGGGCTTGGGCACAGTGGATAATTAACCACTGCTAAAGCATAAACATTTAAACTAGAAGAGAATCCAAATTCTAATCCAGCTGAACATGTCTAGTAGGTCATTTTTTACCCAAGAAGAACATCAGCACAGATCTACGTGAAAATTATAGTTTTCAATTTTTCTCAAATCAATATTCAGGCCCACATTGTCATTTACAATAGGAACAGAAATGTTCCTATGTATGACAAAGATATTAACTTTACCGATATACAAAGAACACACATCCTACTTACTTAGGAAAAGTCAGAACAAAAAAAAAAAAAAACACTTCCCTTATTCAGACATCCAAATATGCTTCAGGGACATACACTCACTACTCATTCTGAGATGCCAACAGGCACAAAGAAACAGCCTAGCCTTGCAGATGCATGCAGTTAGTTTCCTAAAGAGTAGCGTCACCTTCTGCTACTCCACCAAAGCCTTCCTCTTCCTATTCAGATCACTCTGAACAAGATAATGTGTTTGAGACCAGGAGCAGCTGACTAGAGATTACATGTAGATACAGCCACATTGTTTAAAAAGGGGAGGTCTACACAGTCATGCATGTATGACGGTTACACGAAGAAGGAAGAGCTGCTGCCCTGCTTATCGCAAAAGTTGCCCAGACAGCCCTCAAGAAATTTGCACCTGATTTTTAACACTTTTTCAATTCAGTGGTTTGAATTGAAGGAGCAAGAAAGAACCCAAGAACACCCAAAACCAAACCAAATCAAACTCAGACAGAGAAAGTCTATGGAGAACGATTAATCCGTCCATAAACTACTTCATAGTGAATTTGGATCATCTGTCCTGGATATTGGAATTCAAAACACCGTCTCACCAAAGGTTAAACAAATCTAAAGGCTCCTATGTGTTTGACCAGACAGTTGGTGGAAAGATAAAGACAATTTATGCATCTTAGTACTGAAGGAGGCTGGACAGCAAGGTTAGTCTTGATATTTAATTTTCAGAAGGCTCAAGATTGACAAGACAAACTGCACCTATATCATAAGATGCATAAACACAGAAAACTGGGCAAATAGGAGTTAAGAGTATAAATATTGTGTTGGAAGGCAACTTCATGTAGTAAAAAGCATGCATATTTTTTATGGGGATAGAATCACAAATACATGAAAAGATAAAAATACAGAATTATCCCATGAATGTACTTTACCAAACCATAGGAGTTTGTAGTTATTCAGAATACCAGCTATACTATTTACCTTCATTTCACTCAGTTACAATGTGAATTTAAAGAGATTTCTAACTTGAACAAAAAATTGTTTTGACAAGAAATTATTTGACAAGAAATAATTTTCTAGGTCTAAACAAATAATCTGATCTTAAGCCACTTCCAAATAATTTCCAGAACTACAGAAAATTTTTTACTGCTAAAGTCCGAAGATGAAATAATCCTACATGATGACTGTATTTGAGCCAATCTTTCAATTTCCTGATAATTAAGAGAGTTTCCTCAGGATAATTAGATGTCCACACTATAGCAGGTTTTGTCAGTAGAGATGTTTTGAGAGGTATCTATGTGACTTGCACTTATGTTCTATACTTATGTCCTTACTGTAATTATTCCAGACTATTGCAAAAAAAATAGTTTTTTACCTTTTCTTCAATGAATGCAAACATAGCAGCTAGTGAAAAACAACCTTGTTTTGTGCCTTTTTTTTCCAAAATAGCAAAATTAGACAGAAGTACAAGGTAAAATTGAAATTAAAATACTGTGTGAAGTTTACCTTTCCAGCTCTGTATGCATTCCACAGCATTGATACTGAACACTTTGTAGTTGTTTTTTTCAGGTTGCAGTGGAAACCAGAAGCTTTGTGTTTTCATTCTCCCTATTCAGTTGTGGTTCCTTATTCTTCTTTAAGAGTGAACTGACATATGGACCTCTTAGCCTTACAGCACCAATCCATTAAAAGTCAAAAACCTGCTAATATTTTATTTTGCAGGATAGGTTTCTTGCTAAAGCAGATGTACAAATACATTATCTTCTTCAGCCTTACCACAAAAAAAATAGAACAGAATAGAATAGAATAGAATAGAATAGAATAGAATAGAATAGACTAGAATAGAATAGAATAGAATAGAATCACAGTGGTTTGGGATGAGAACTTGGGTCAGCTCAATCCAAAAATGGGTGTGGATTTCTGTAAGTTTATACCTAAGCACAGGAATCTACCCACTCACCCGGAAGCTGTTCTCACTTATTTCAAATCTGGAGACACAACTAGAAACTGTCACCAAGCACAGTCCATGTCCTGCTGCACAAACGCATATCGTAAACTAAAAGCAAGCTACATAAATATGCGTAGAAGGAACGCAAGAACAACACACCTCTGTTGCTGCAGATTTTGCCATCTGGCGATGTGCATCTTTTCTTGATCTCCCAGGGGGTGATGTCACACTGGAATTCACATTTATCTCCATGCCAACCAGCCTCACAGTAACAGTTTCCACAGTAACACTTTCCATGGCCTTAAGCCAAAACAAATTTTATACAGTGAGAAAGAGGCAAGTTTTTAAAAGGCATTAACAATATAACAGTTTAATTTTTTCTTCTAAAAACTTCTAGTGCTAGACTCATAATAGAAATAATTTCTAGACTGTATATGCCTACGTAACATAAGACAAAGGAAGTCTGAACTATACTTTTTCTCAAGTCTACTTTAGAAGATATTTTCATTTAATGACCAAATACATTTAATCAATAAACAGCAAGAAAACAACATTAATATTTTATTATTTGTAAGCCTAATTTTTGAAACTTTATGGGTAAATTTGGAAGACAGTAAATGTATAGTTCAAATTTAAGCAGAGTTAAAATTTAAGATTCAAGAACCCACTGCATTTGGCATGTCTAATAAAGCATTGTGTGTTCTTGACTCCTCAAATAATTCCAGCAGAGGGACCTTGATTTACTACAAACTGTCTACATTGTATATGGCTTCCCTCCTTACCTGTTAAAATTTAACACAGATAAGCCATTTTATGAAAGATAGGAACTAGTAAAATGAACCTTGTAGATGGTTATTTAACAAATCACATATCTTCCAAAAGATGTGATCTGAAGCTTGATGAACTTCAATGACAAAAAGAATTTAAATTAAGTAGCTGCAACTCTTACTGGTCTTAAAGCCATAAATTTATTCTTTGCTAGAAGGATCAAGCCAGGATCTTGACTTTTTTTCCCTATAGGTATGTTAAGCTTAGTAGACCTTCTTGTCTCTATCACAGTGTGGTTAGCTTATATTCTTAAGTATGAAGAGTGCAATATTGGATCTGTGGAGGTTTTTTTTTTCTGTTTTTACAATTAAACATGGAATTTTCATTGCAATTGTTTAGTTACCTTTCAAAAAATAACAGAAGATGAAAATATCATCTTACTTAGAAATCTAAACTGCGAAGACAGTCTAAAATAATGCTTATTGCCAAAAGGTTGTTCTTGAACAGTGGACAAGAAATAAGGGAGGAAACAGTGAAGGAGTAAATTAATTTGATCTACTGGCAGTTTTTGCAGATTAAAACATTAATTCGTCATTCACACTTGTAGAGTCCTCATATAAATATTAATTAAAAGCTACAATTTGTCACTACCTCTTGCTCTTGATTGAAGAAAAAAATCACTTCTTTAGAGTAAAAAAAGCCTTAGGAAAAAAGCCATGATAACTATTAAAAACAAGCTACAACTTGATTCCAAAGTTTGAAAAGTGATGTAGTCAACTGACCAGTAAAAGTCCAACGGGGGCTGGAAAACCTTGAAATATTTTTGTAAATATGCCCTACCTAAGAACAGATTTGCTTAAAAAATGCAGGCCCCTTGTGCAAAGATTAAAATGCATGTTATTTATATCTCAGCATGGCTTTTCCATCCCAGCTCACAGTTGCAGGCTTTAGAAATGTGTGTAAGTAGAAGCTTTTGGTTTTTCACTAGTTTGATCCTCATGAGTTGGCTTTCTTTGAAGACAATTAAAATCTTCAAGACCTGTCCATACCTTCAAGAGCAATAAAGGCGATGTGGTAAGTAAGTAGGTGCTACACAAACCATGAAAGTACAACAGGCACTAATTAGGTTCAGACAGTTTGTAGAGAGCACCCAGGGGACATTGCTAGCTAAGCAAAACTGGGTTGGAATGTTTATTACTTCATAAATAGCTTAAATGATTCCTGTGGTAGAAATCCTGTAGAAGGAAAGACAGCATAAAGGGTGTTAAAGGAGACATCAGGATGGGAGAGGGAAGCAATAACCACATAGCCATGTGTATTCTGGTTCTTCTGGAACAAAGTTATGTACCTTAGACTTTCAGTTCATGTGCTGTCTGTTTTTTCTGCATAAGGCCTGCTTCAACATATGGTTATGCACACTGTAGAGGCTTGTTAGAAAGTAAAGCAAAATCTAACACTCATAACCTATGTACATAAACTTTTCAGGTTACAACAACCTAACCAAGTCAAGCACGCCATCAGTTTACAACAGATTTCCTTTAGAAGTCTCCAAAACTTACATAAAGCATCAGGGATTTTATACTAATGAATCACACATCTTAGAGACTTGAATCTACCAACATTTTTTTGTTTTTTTATAACAGCATTCTTTGATTTCTGTATACACATAAAAATAGTGTTTTACATAGATGCATCTGGTCTGTTTTGTAATATGGCACTACTGGATGAAACAAGGTGAAATGAAACCTAAGGACAAAAACCCTAACAATATAACCCAGCAGCAACACAGATGGGGAAAAATACTTGACAAAAACAGCAGAAGGAGAATTTACTGGAATCAAATAAATGGTAAATTTATATCATATTTGGTACCATATGAAGGGTTACAAGCAAATAAATATAAATGGAACCACTGTCACATAAAAATTATTGCCCTCCACTCATTTTATTTCAGGCAATTCCTAGAAATATTGTACTCTACTCCTTGATCTGGAATTTAGAGGACCATTCTGTTTACCCTCATTTAAAATCCCTAACTACACCTATGAAAGAACAAAAAAAAAAAAAACTAGTTCTTTTTGCCTTCAAAGGCACTTAAATATATAGAACATTTTATTCTCTGTGTAAGGATAAAGACAGATGAAGTTATTTTACACAAGTACTATCTTTGTGCTCACACAGAGCAAGCATTGTTATAAGTGTATGAATAGTTTATGCACACATAGTATGCATGCCTATAGCTGGAAAATATATTTGTAGCACCAGCTCAAGTACAAGCCTCCCCAGCAACATAGGCAACAACGTTTATAATGCCATGAAATGGTGCGTATTGCACAAAATTTAATTGCCAGATTCCTATTTTATAATGAAATTAAAACACTGTTTGAATTTTGGTTGCTTCTATATCACCAAAGTTCACTCCATCTTACTCTTTTGCCTTTCCTATTAGAGATGAAATTTTTCTTCATTCATTCGTTTCCCTTTTTATCTCTGGAATTGCTTCTGAGTTCTCATCCTACAACTATTTTTGTTCTTTTAAATTTTTGCTTCCTTGGCAAAATTATTAATAATTTTCCTTTTTGTTTTGTTCTTTTTTTGTGTGTGCCCTCCATCCTGCTGCCATTTATGCCACAAAGCACTCACATTTCTTATACTCTACTGAAGACAGACACACTAAGCTATGAATTACCTTGTATAATCCTCTTTGCAGCTCTTCCAAAAAGAGGAGGATGTCACAGGATTTCTTCACTCTTTAACCTCCTGCTTAGCTGATTTTTGCATGTGAAATTCCCACTTACAATTTGCAAGCTAAATTCTTGCAAATGTAGTTACTTTTAAGTCATACATTCAGTAAAGACATTCCATAGGTCCACACTATTAAATAATTTTATAACAGCCTCTATTAATCTTCACCTTTCTTCTTGTACTCACTAAAATACGTACCTGTACAAATCTCTTCTGTCTCATCATCTATGCATTCTCTATCATCACATTCACAATATTTGCCATAGACGAGTCCATTTCCATCAGAGTTTGCACATTTACACCTGCCACAATGACATGTGCCTGTAAACATTTAAGACAACACTCAATGACTGCACTTTATGGAGAGTTTCATTAGTTCATGAGAAGACTTAAATCTAAAGATCAACAAGCCAAATAAAGACAGACACAGAAACAAACCATACTAAGAAAAGCCTAATCTTACATATAGATGGATGCAACATTCAAGTGGAGCATTTTTAATAAGGAGCAAAAGATTTTCTTCAGTAAAATTCACTCATAGAGCTGTCTGTCTGACTTTAAACAACTGAGGTATGAAGTCAGCTTTGAAAATTATATCTTCTGCCTACTGAAAGGAGAAAATTTAACTTGGTCATCTTCTCAAAAATGAAGCCTGTTTTTGTCTGGTACCACAGCCATGTTACATGAGAATAGCAGAGCATGGCTACTGAGGACCTGAAATTATGTCTAAGTTCACAAAGTTCCTTTGCACTCTGGTTTCTTTCCCACAGCTATCATCTGGGGATTAAGATTTTTAAATACAGGCTTGGAGAAAAAGTCAGGAACCAAAGGAAGGAAACATTGGTGAGGAAGACCTTATGATCAGATGTCAGGACAAAAGGACGCACGTTAGAAAGCAATTATCACAGCAATACATTAATTATACAACAGGGAAGCCGACTATAACAACATATCCACAATTTTACTGCAAGGTGCATGTTTTTCCGGTGGTATTGATGTCCACACTACAAGGTATTTCAGTCATTTGAAGAATTGTAGGAATCTCTAAAACAACAACTTTTTATTTCAGGACTTTGACACAATCTAAGCTTTTACAGTTATTTTTTTTCAATTTGTGGGTGAGGTCTCAAAAGATTAGATCTTGCAAGAATGTTAAGAGCTGTAATAAAGACACTTGTTGATTTGTCACAAATAAGATGTGTTTTACCCATGTCAGACCACTGAGTGGTTTGAGAACACGGATCTGCCTGAGATGCTCCCCTAATTTAATTAATCCAAGGGCTCCAAAATGCTTTGGAAGCATAGGGCTGTTTTTTCTCACAATGTAAGCCAAAATTGAAAACTTTCTGACATAAGGAAAAAACAGAGCCCTCAGGTAATGCAAAAGATTGAAATTGATTTGTAAATGATGTCTAGTCTGGTTACACATTTGCCTCTTGATCTTTGGAGTAGGGTTATCCCCTCACCTCAATGGCTGCCCCTCTCCACGACCCATCCTCACAAACAGAAAAGGTTTGGTTTGTTGCTCACAGGGAAGGAAAAATGACTCTTTTCCCCTCAGAGAGTCTATCTGACCTGAAGTGCAGTTGCCAGAGCAAAGCAAACAACTGCCTTCTCCTCCTCCTCCTGAATATTTTCTGAGTTGAAACATAATGCATGATAATATATAACAGCCATAAATAAACTTATTAAGGAGTTACACAGCCAAAACCCCCCAAAATTCTATAAAATCATGTCAGAAACAAATGTATTGCCATGTTGGCCATATAAGGCATTCCTTTTCCCTACCTCTATCACCTTTATTAAAATTGTAAAGGTAGGAACTTTGTGCAATATCATGTTAGCTGGGGCTCCGTGGCCAATGGGGTTGCACAAAGTGTATCAGCAGTCATGGTGTCACTATGACAGCAAGTACAGATTTTTTACAAATGGAACTTAATTCACAAGACACATAATCCTCACATTGCATCTATATATGTTTCAGAAAACATGGTTATGGACACAAAATAAGTCCTCCAAAATAGAAGTTTCATACTGATACTACACAACTGGTTTGCAGAAACTGTTTAGTATTTCACCATTGCAAATACAGAGTAAGTTTTGCTAAACATCAGATTAATTCAAACAAACAGAAGAACTTGGCTCCGGGACATACAAGGCCAGTCTAAAAAAGCAAACTTTAATTTTTTTTTCTGTAGCTAATATATAGTAAAATAAAAATAATATGACTGATAGTACAGCATAAGTAACTTACAGAACTAAAATCATTTGCTGCAATTACTTGGAAAATAAATACAAATAAAAGTTTTCAGAAAACTGTCTTATTTACAAATAATTACCAATTAGGGAAAAAGGTAAAATGGTAAATTGATTCATAAATTGGGCATATAAAGAGACCAAATACTCTGTGTGGTGAGAGCATTAATTCTCTCCCCTTGACTAGAAGTGGAAATTGCCTATATAGAGAATCTCAGTTTAGGTAGGATGTCCTAGTTACTCTGACAAATGATTACGAATAGTTATGTGAGAAAAGTTAATTTTAGGTGGATCTTGATTGGTTCATGAAAAGAATTACAATAAATGGTTAGCTGTGTGACAGCAGAGGACTATTTTTGCAACAACTTGTGTCATCCCTTCCCACCTATTGCTGGCAATTAAAAACCAGAGCTCAGACCGCAAAGGAAATATTGGCAGTAGATAAAAAGGTAATTTGATCAAGACAAACCATATATGGCTACAGTCCATGAAAGTTACCCTCAACTGCCTAGCCAGTCTCATTGGAATTCCTGTCTTCTAATAGCAGCAAAATGTAAAGCTTTCAGTCTTTTCCTGAGCCCACAAATACTCCCCTCTTAGCCACTTCTAGTGGTCGTTCTACACTGGTTTTCCTGTGAAGGCTCAGTGACAGACAGAGTGGGGCCACTGCTAACCAAGAAAAGAAAGAGAAAAAAAGGGCTTAACATTCTTGTTTAAGTACTTTGACTGATCACAGTGAACTATGGTTATTTTTGAGAGTCAGTTTCTCGTTTAGGTGTGTCTGATTTGTTAGTCAAACAATCATGAGTTTCATGTAATCTATATTATTGTTGTAAATTGAATGTATTATTTACTTAGTATGCTATATGCATAAAATGGGTTTCACATCTTCTTGTGAGACCCTAGCTTCTCCGGACCAAGGCCCACAAACTGTTTGGGTTCTTTGCTCATGTCAGCAACTAACTTGTAAGAAATTTAGTTGCATGAAAATGCACAGACCCAGACAGAAATTAAAGGTCAGAAATAGTGAGCAGAAGTGGAGTTCATGAAGCATTCTCTCATTCAGAGATCAGTGTAATGGAAAAACAGTTTCTTGTCTCAAGAGAAATATAAAAGTGTGTTATCAGAATAGGCAAAGTGAAGAAAGAAGTAATCCATTAAAATGATTCTGCACTTCTTCCACAAATATTTTTTTAAAATCATTGATACAGCTCAAAAGTATCTCAAAAAATTGTACAGCTTATAAATATCCTGAAAAAGTATTTGCAAATGCCATATCTGCATGCTATAAACACAAACACAAAAAAGAATGGCACCACTTTCTGTGTTAATGCCATTACCATAACCTTTTGATGGGCAAAATACATGACAGAGCTGCAGCTTCATCAACTTAAAATAGCAATGGATGAACTAAAGTATTAAAGTAGTCACTCAGAATCAGCGCACATCATCCGCACAGGAAAAGGCCTATAGGAAAACTAAGCATTTTAGTATACATTCAGTTATTTCTCAGTCTTTGAAACATACTCTACAAAATTCCTAATTAGTAAAGAAATTGCACTGGTTCTCAAGATAACACAGGGAGAACATCAAACCATCAATAGCAACAAAAAACATCTTACCTGCACCAGAACAGATGATATCTTGAGAATTCTTGCACATTTCATTGCTTTTCTTCCGTGTAAGATTGCAACTAGTTGGATACTGACAAGCTTCACCGTACCAGCCTTCATCACATTTGCACTTCCCACAGTCACACTTCCCATGGCCTAGCAATTGAAGGAAAGCATGTGTCAAGTCCTTTTTTTTTCATTCAGAATTTAAAATAGATTCCATCAATTATAGTTTTAAATGAACATGATTAACAGTTTCACTTAACGCCGTTCATTGCAATTAAAAATAGAAATGAATAAATATGATCTTAGATATGAAGAGACACCTGAAATCACCATGACTTTGAAATCTGATGTATGTCATTTTGATAGGTCTTTGTATGAATTATCATTTTAAGAAGGAATACAAAACTTAAACATTCTGTATGAGCAATGGGCTTTCTTACTACTTTCACTTCTCATTCCCGTATTTGTCTACTGTTACCTGTTATTGACACAACAGAACTCCAAGTGCAGGGGTTCCATTCACTTCCTTGGCCAGCTGTAGGCAAGGAACAGCTAGAAACTGCAGCCTGAGGACACAGGATTAACTATTATGGTACAAACCCCCAAAATGGGCATGGAGAAGGCGAGCTACAGCAGCAAGTAGTAACTCCCTCACACACCAACTGCAGCTCCTACCTTTACTGAAAAGTGCAAATCCTTCTTCCTGAAGCCTTTTCTGGCTACTAGTTCCTCCAGCCCTCTCCCACTCACTTAGACGTTACTTGGTTGCTGCTGAAAATTCAATTTTTGTCTTTAAATATTGAGACAGTATTGGCAGTGTAGCATAGTTTGATAATCATAGGAGTATATTTACTTACGATTATTTGCTGAGTATGAAGTATCTTAAAGAACCAACACAGCTGCTCAATCTATTAGGACATGACATGCTAGCCTTCTATCATCTGCTTAATACATTGTCTGCAGGCTTTAATATATCTAATATCATGAAGAATTATAAAGGAAAGGAAAGTTTATTCATAAAAATGATTTTGTTTCTTTGAAAAATACCCAAAAATGCAGATGAATTGACAACTTATGCTATTTTGCATATTAAGTATTATATTCCACACTAAATTCCAGGTGCAAATTTCTATCACTTAATTCTTTAGCATTCCTTTACAATTTTAGGTAGTGAATATGAGAACAACTGGAAAAATTTTGAACTAGAATATTCAATTTTAAATTAAGTACCACTTGAATATATATCTGATTGACAGAAGAAGGGTATCTTTAAATCACTGTGTCTCAAAAATAGAATCCTATTGCAGTCTACTTTAAAAGTATTTGTTGCCTGAAATGAAAGTCAACTGCCTGAAAATACAAGCCCCGTCTGTTGCCAGCAAGGAATAATTTAGATTCTCATATAAAATAGCAAATTTGAAAAATATTAAAATATCAAAATGGAAATAGAAAATTTTAATGCAAAAAAGGAGTATCTTTTGTAGCTTGATAAAATTTGGTTTGCCTTCCAAGATAGTCCTAAGACAAGACACAGTTTAAAATCTGAAAATAAAATTAAAACAAAAACAATACAAACAAACAATAACAACAACAAAAAAAAACAGTTCAAAAACATATGAGCAAATCATGTTAGCTCTTGTTTTAAAGCAGGACTTGACACCTTAAAAATTGCTAGTAACTCTTTGTTGACAAGGGACGAGAGAGAAAAAAAAAGTATATAAATTATGTAATAAAACCCTACTCTTGTGATTACTCTACCCCACTAAAAGGTGACAGCATAATTCATTTCAGAAATTGGTGATATGTCCAATTGTCCAGTGGTGATGTGTAGCTTAAAACTAAAACCAAAACATAACCATCTCCATATATTTTCCTTCCTTTTGAGGATTATTCATCACAATGACTTTGCATTCTCCATGTTAGGCATTCTTGTGATTTTAGTTTGTTTTTTTGCTGGTGAAGAAAAAGGTGCTCTTATAAAAGGAGGATCAATTTCCCCATTCCCATGTCTAAATGACAGAGTAAGGCAGAAACCATGGCTTGTTAGTACTGATGGTCTAGCAGCACCAGCCTCTCAGTTAGAGATGTACTAATCTAACATATGGTGCATAAAGGAAAAAGATATTTTCACTTAAAATTCTTACAGCCTGTTTAAAGAAAATGAATAAAAAACTTCCATGAGCATAGTCATACAGAGCAGTTTCTTTAACAATAAAATAAATTTTAAAAAAAACACTGAAATTCCTTACATTAAAAATGGGAAAATAAACAGGAGATATCTTGCATGTCATTGAAAGCAATGATAAGGAATTTAACTAATAGGAATTTGTGAGATTGTACTAATGATTTTTACCTGGACCACACCCTTAAAATATCCCATTTTTCCCAATTGGATATTACAAAGCAATGGGGAGATTCTAAAAAAAATTATCTGGGTGAGAGGACTATACTGAAGTGCAGAGGGCCATAAAATTGCCTGCAATAGCTTGTATAACTCATTATAGCCTCCCTGTCACACAGATGATGCAGTAGGTCTGCAAGTCAGTCTGACAGAGTTATTCTCTTCTTGTTTATTTCCCTCATCCACAGGTATTGACCTTATGGTATTCCTCATGGCAAAAATAGTGATGGGATGAACCAACTGTGTGATAAGCTGTGAGAAAATTTAAAGAGACTACAAAAGGTTTTTAATTGGTCTGGGTTTTTTTCAGAAAAGTTTATGTAGGATCCCTTTTGTTGTATATAAATTTCTGTATTGTTTACAACGCAAACAACATTATGAAAGAGTAAATAAGGAGTAAATAGCACTAGGAAAACTGCAAGGTAATATTGTAACTTCCAAGAAAAGATATCCAGTCAATAAGGGATAGACTCAAGTATCTGAGGATGTGAAACATATCACAAGAAAAGTAAGCTACAAGACCATACTAAAGAGTTGGTCAAGAAATCTGTATCTCAAGGTCACTGACAACAAACATTTAAGGGAAAAAAAATGGCTGTAACATGAATAATTGCTAACTGTAAAGGAAAAATCCAAATTTCACCTTAAAAAGTCAATCTAGTTAAAACTCAAGGAAGTGCGAGAAATGCTTTTAACAAAAAAATTGGATGTAGTCTGAAAAAAATCACAGCTTCAAACATGTGGAAAACCCTTTTATAACAAAGGGCTTTTCACCCTAACTAGATGAGCAGCCACCTCAGGGAGTACATCTGGAGTATGCAGAAGGCTTGTAGGGTGGGAAATGAAGCTAATATGCAAGGAAAACTGTCAGATGTCAGAAAATATATAGAGAAAGTGAGAACACAAAATGTTAGGCAGGGTCAGATCTTGAAAAACTGCAAGTACTATAATGTACTTTCATCATCCAAATAAAAAGAAAGTAGGATAAAGAGTGGCTTCACTAAGCAGCAAAAAGGAGTTAAGATTAAAGATAATGTACAGACAGTCCAGAACGAAATGAATATGGGGATGTTGACTACAGTAGCAAATGCAGTGTGGCTAATGATACAGACTGTAGATATGAAAATTACTCATCTAAGATGAGAACAAAACAAAGACATAAAAATGGTTTTAAGGAAGCGTCTAGACCAGAAGGGCAAGACCCCAAAATCTCCACTCAAGAGTACTTACAACGTTTGCCCGTGAAAAGCCAGTATAATAACAAAGACTTTTTTTAATTATTCTATTAGGCTGGCAATCAAATGTCTGAAAAATAAAAAGCTAACTTTTTTTTCTTTTAAGAAAAAGGGATGCACATGATTGAGGCAACCTAAAAACATGCAGCTATGACCTCGGAAGCTGTGCAAAGATCTGAAACAAATTATGAAGCATTGCATAGCTAGAGACACTGAGGTAAGGAAAAATGGAATATAATGAATAACAGCTTTATCCCCAAATAGACTAACATTATGCCAAATTAACCTATCAACTCTTTATAAGGTAACTCATTTTAAGGAAAGGGACCTTTGAAATCTAGCGGATATCATGTATATTGGATACAATGCCACTTAGGGGAAAAAAAATATTCTGGCTAAGATTCTCTAGAAGTGTAAAAGTATCACAACTTGGTTTAAGGGAAGAAAAAAAAAATGACAAAAAGGGATATTGATGGTTACTGGTGATGTTTCAAAGGATGTTTTCAGAACCAAACAGCTTTTACTGATATTGATACAAAAAGTCAGAGTATGCTGACAACATTTGCCAATGACACAAACCCATAGGCCCCCAGTAGAAATGTGAAGATGGAAAATCATACAGAATGAATAGTCTGAAGGACTGAAGTAATAAAAGTGCAATGAAACTAGACATACAAAGCACAAGATCACAGACGAGGGAAAGGATGCTGTAGGCTAAGGCCTCCCCAGCTGGAAACAACAAGGAAAGCCCAAGTGTATACTCATGTAGTCACATCACCTTTTCAGGGCTGACATCTTTAGGTGAAAAAGAGTCTAAGAAGTACCCGTTGAAGATAGGTTAGTAGGAACAGAAAACAGTAGCAAACTTGTGTTTGCAACACTACACACAACGTATGTAAAATGGACATGGGTCCCATTTATGTTGGAAAATTGCCACTATGTCTCTAGGTCTCAGAAGGAGGAGTTAAGATTTCCAGGGAAAACACTGATAGAATTTTAGCCACTTGTGAAGTTGCAAAAGGCTAGGAATTAAAACATCTCAGCTGAAAGATGGTCATTTAAACCGCAATCATTTGGCTCTGATCACATGCCTTTGTGTGACTCCTTTCTAGAAACTTTTTTCCACTACATGTTTGCATGTCTGTCAGTCCAAGAGTTAAGACACGAAGGTAAAATCTCTGACAAAATGTTTGGAATCCACATCTGAACTGTATGTATTCAAGGCACCAGCTTGGAAGCCTGACTCTGCTGAGTTCTATCTAATCCATCATGGGAGACAGGCACTTCTGCAGAGTGACCCGGGCTGTGTGGGCTGCACAGGCCTCAGGGGTTGGCTGTCTTTCTTCACTAAACTACTGGGAAGCATGCAGTGATTGGACAGGATACACAAACATAGCTGGTGGGGCTTTGGTGCATCATTAGACTTGTATGCATGCAATTTTTTTTGTTAATTTTCTTTTGCTTCATTTATTTTTGCAATAATCTATGTCAGGTTTTAAATATTCTGACAGACT